TCAGTTTTCGTATGAGACACCTGTCAGTTTGCGTATGAACATCAATTGGTTTGTTTACGAAACTTTTTGAAATCTGACAAAATATTATGGATCAGCTTATGCTATAATCCGACATTATGCAACGTTTAACTTCAGAAAGGTACAGATCATTTGGCCTCAATATTATCGCAAATTTGGCCTACGTGATAGCCTGATCTCTTAAATGGAAATTTCTGATTGAGCGGTAAGTGAATCAGGCAGTCACATTTTGTAATTGCTTAAAATATCAGGTATATTTTTGAGGAGGAGGATCAGCATGACACTCTGTCGAGACAACGTGTAACGCAATTGTTTTTGGTGCAGAAGGAATAGGATGCAAGAGCAATCGGACAAGACTTAAGCAGGGAGAAAATGCAGATAGAAAAACCTATTAAAGGCACGGCGTCTGATGTCGGGGGCATGGTCTCGGCAACCAGCAGGAGAAATACTGTAAGTGACAGGAGGATGGTGACACCTGAAAACGAATGTCACCCAATATAACCGATGCATTTCGAAATGCAGTTAACTAAATTAAATTCAATTTTCCCTCAAATTGCATCCGAATTCAGGAAGAGAATACGGATGAGGTATAATTAATGCAAAATTTTCATCTTGCAAGAAAATAAGTATTGGTTTAAAACAAATTGTTCAAAATTACAGTGCTTTTAATGTATGCGTGTTCATTAACAGGTCTGTGGTTTTCTTCATTTTAGTATCTTTGCATTTAATTATTAATTTGTTATCAATCTACGTATACTTACTTACTCCATACAAATGAAGAACGTTAATTAATCTTTTAAAAGTACAAAAAATATACTTTAACAAACATTACGTGCAGTAATTTATGGTTTAGATAATGTTTCATAACCTACTATTCTATATTATTTGTATAATAACTTAAGCTAATATATTAGCGAAGATATTTATTGATGCATTAAAATTACATGCTTAATGATTGCGCCTTTTTGAGATTACGAAATAACTATGTACACAGTTTATTGGTTCATTTCTACGAGGTATTCGCTGTAGAGAATTATATCGCCTAATCTATATCTAATAATATACTACCTAATCTTTGCTTTTGGTACTAGCTTCGTTTTACTCTGAAGTAACTGGGAAAAGCGTTGTGCTTGCACTTGACTTCAGAGATTACTAAGTGCTTGAAAGCTTCAAGGGATCTGACTTATTTATGTAAATGTCAATTATATATATATAATGCGATTTGTAAAGTAAGTATAAACTGAAAATATTTAATGAAAGAAAATTTTTTTTATCTAATACAAGTGGATCAAAATATCCAATTGTGCATATAGAGATTAAATGCACAACAAGTTGTAAATGTAAAAAAAGAATTAGACATAAATTTTAAAAAAGTGTAGTAGTGAATAAATGCAAAGACAAAATCTCATAAAAATAAATTCTAAATAAACCATAAATCCCCAGCAATTAAAGTTCCAACACTTTCAAAAGATAATAAAATTTAATAAACGTACCTAGGCCAGCAGCTCTGTAGTATAAGTGATTGAGGTATTGCTGTACCTAACTAACTGATAAACTTCAGCCCCAGGTTTGATTTCTGGATGGAACACCCTGGGGACAGTCCTGTTTCTCGCACGCCTATTAGTGTGGCTTGCAGTGTATTTTGAGCGCCCCCTTGAGCACAGACACTATACGCTTACAAACATCCATGCCTTCTCCGGCATTCGAACGCACGCCGTTCGAGATGGCAGTCAGCGTGAGTAGCCACTATTTCGCCTGGGCGCGGAATATGGAGAAAATACGAGACTGATAGAAGAAGTAAAACTCAATTGAATCGTAAGCTTCGTCGAGGAAGGCGAAACTGTATAGTTTCTTTAACCATGGGTCTGATCTTTTTTTTTTTTTTTTTTTTTTTATTAAATGAAATATAAAATAGGCAGGATTTTAAAACGATGAGACCTCAACCTGAAGTCGAATGATCTGAAATTCCATGTTTGTATAAGCCTAATATAGTGTTTTATGAAAGCGAATTTAATTGGCTGCAATCTAATGAAGAATAATACAAATATACATTATGTCAGTCACTTAATGCATAAATTCCACATAATACTTTCCTGAAATGAACGAAAAAAAATGAAAGAAAAAAACGAAAGAAAAAAATGAAGAGTTTACGAATTCAGTGACATTCTTAATGAAGCAAACAAAGCTACAACCAAGGTAACATTTATCTGCCTTAAATATCATGAAATGTAAGACTGTTATAGAAAGAATAAGAAAGTGTTCGAAGAAAATGATTGAATTATTACTGAAATAAAAGCTAGATATTAAACTATAATGATGAAAATATATAATAAATAAATGAAAGAAAGGTAAGACGCCAGTATGAAGGTTTCACTTTATCAGACTGTACAGAGACTTAAATAATTGTGCTACTTTCATGTCTGCGCATTTTCAGATCTCATACTGAATATGAACTCCTGGAGTATATACAGGACTCCTTGCCAGTCGGTTTCATATGCAATTTGCAACTTAGATGTGCCTTCAAGCTCTTCATTAAGAAACATAAATTATATGTTCTTAAAATAGTAACACATAAATCAACTGTTACCCAACATTGTTGGTCAAAATATTTATTTTTGATTTCTCTTCAGTCAGACCTATTAAAAATAAATCTTTCTTTGATAAATTAGGTGTTTTACGTTCGTAAAAATCTTTCAGTTCTATTTCATGTTCTAAACTCCTATTAGAATTTACCCTCAGATCTTAAGGAAATTATTTGGTAGTTGTTTTCATTTTTTGTCAGTAAAAGGCTAGCCGTGATTTCGTTTTATAACGCAACTTACTCGAAATTTGCAATCTATTTTTTTGACTGGTATCTCTTGAGCAAAGGTTTGTTTTTCGTCATTTTCATTCCTGCAGCTGAAGGAAAAGTTTCTGAAGTCAAACGCTCGAAACTAGTACAGTAAATTTATAAATATTACCGCTGATTCCAATTTTTTTTTAACTCTCTAGCTTACTTTGTTAATTCTTCATGGATTTAGGCCTATAATATTAATATATAGTTTCTAAATTTTTGTTTTTGTTTTTGTCGTTTCGGAGATTTCGGGTTTCTGCACATTCTTATTAATACACTTGACTTACGATATATAGTTACTTAAACTGCTTGTGTCCCCGCCTAGATGAAGACTATGTGCAATTTCATTGCCCATACCATTTTATCATAATATTTTTTGAAATTTCCACTTTAATATTATCTCCATATTTTAAAAAGATCATCTATGATCTTTTGAAGTTTTATTATTTTTTTTTTACTAGTTACTAGAAGTTTTATTACTACATTTTATTACCATTTCCTCTTTTTCACTGGTATGTCCACTTGAAATATAAGGAATTAATTTTGATCTTCCTAGTACAGCAATTTCTTTTTAATGCATATGTAATTATACTAAATTTTATGTCTTTTATTACGTCTTATATTTTTTATCTTTGTTTACACAAATTGGTTTGTTAATTTACCTGTTCTAAGTAAGAAAAATTAATTACATTTTATATTTTCTTCTGCTTTACATATCTTAACTCCTTCAACTTAATATTCATAATTAATATTTTAATGTATTGCAATTGTTATTTCATTGTTTTAAAATTTTTATTATTTGCCATTGTTAGAATGCCTATGCAAATAATTCATAGCATAATGAACAAAATTTTCTCCCAACCCTGAATAAAAAGTTGACATTGTCAAATGTATGATGATTGTTCAGTTTGTTTAATATAGATTTTGTATAATTATTATTTATTTTTCAGATGTTCACACAAGAAAGTAATAAGATTTCTAAGGAAATTCAGTTATACAATTGTTATGATAATTTTTCTTTTCGTAAGCTTTAATTTATTCATTGTTTTTCACTCTGATTGCAATTTTGTAGTCAGTTTTTAACCTTCATAATGAGCTATAGTGTTCAGATTTTGAACACACATTTTTGGTAGATGACAATGCATTATGGCGAAGAGAAATTCAAAATACGATTAAAATTTTTCTATTTGATGTTTAAAAACTTTTTCGCACATATCTTCGCTTAACGAACACGTACTAGAATTTTTATGCACCATCGAAGAGAAAAAATCATTTTTCAGTGAAACTCATATGATACTTCAATTTAATTTCCGAAATTTTGGTGAAATTTTTTAAATCGCACCCCCTTTTTTTTTTATTGGCGTATATCATTTTTAGGTTTCGACATATAAAAATATATCAGATATAAAGTTTTGTAATTTTCACAGATAATAAAACGAGCTCTTCTTCCTCTTTAAAAACGACTAATAAAACATATTAATTGATCGGTTTTTTTATTTTTTTTTTCAAATGTATTGTAATCTGAAGCAGACGGGGGGGGGGAAACATTTCTCGCGGAAATATTGGTTTTGAGTTTGCCATTCTGGCGTATTTTATGATGAAGTTTGTCAACTTGGCGCAACTTAATAACGATTTGGCGATATTCCTTTTTCATTGCTTCAAATCTGTATGTCAGTTTATCTTATTTAATGAAATGGTGGAAAGTTTTATTTTTTTTTGTGTGTGTTTTAAGTTCACAGTTACTTAATTTACTTACGTATATTAACAGTTACTTAATTTACTTACGTTACCTTATGCACGTGCTACATGCACCTGGAAGAATGTAAATGACTTATAACACTGATTGATTTTTCAAGAAATATTACGCGACACACACATAAGGAAGCAAACAGTCGTTTACAAATTAAATAACATTCTGTAATTAAACACATTTGTAGATGATTTAAATATACATAACTGAACATCTTCTCTGTACAACACATACTTTATTACAATAAAAGTTCACATTAAATTTTAGCTAGCCAGCTACAGCATACCATGCTACTACGCAAACGAATAGTCCAAAATATTAAACAAAACAAATTACAGAGTTCTCAAATGAATAGAAAGAAGGCTAAACAAGAATTAAAAACATCGAAGTATTGGGAACCTATGATAGAGACGGCGTCAGATGTGGGCGGCATTGCCTCAGCCAACTGCAGCATGAATACAGTCAAAGATAACAGGATAGTCACACCTGAGGGGATGGGATGAGAAATTAACAGAAATTTATAAATCAGGTAATTAAACCGAATAAGGTTTGAACATGGATCGTAACATATACAATACTCAAATTAACATACAACTTAGAGATGTGGTTTCTTAGACCATATTAAGTGTTTTTCCATTGTCCTTTCAATAGTGCGGTTATTTCAAATATTAATTCCTGCAGCTCTTAAATTCATGCTTGATGTAATTGCAAAATTAAATGTATTTTTGATAATTATTTTATCAAACAGTATTATAAGTGTGTGATAGACTACAGCTCCTATTAGAACAACACATGAGAAAGGTAATTAAGAACTTCAGTTGTTTCACTAAGATATCTCTCCTACGACATAGTAGATACTCGTAGTTTTCTAGAAAATCCCGGGTTGTGTTAAACAGAGTTATACGAGTCTAACAACCAGTACAATATAGAGGGATGCGTTCAGAAAGCTTTTAAAATCAAAACAGATTTTTAACGGTTCTCACTGCTGCCTCATTTAAATTTAAATTTTTTGTAATGTCAGATGCCTTTTCAACTTTTAACAAACAATAAAAAAATTTTATTTTTATCTCCAAATATTTTTTTTTCTTTTAAAAATTATTTTCTTGCTTTTAGACGTACAATTTGGGACTCAGTTTCGAAATAATTACTTCTTAATACGAGAAAGTTAGTTAGTAACACATACCGACATAGACTAGAAGAGAAACACGCTAATGTGACAATCAAAATCGTAAAAAACAACCTTGTATTTAGCGTAGGTATAATGAAACACTCAATCGATTTCGAGGGCAGCTAAAAGTCCCTCCTCATCAGGAGAAAGAAATACCTAGAAAGAAGAAAATAAAGGAGAAGGAGTCACAGAAACACGTGGTCCTTATCAGCACTGCACGTGGTTATAACTAGATTTTTAATCAGAGTTGCACTGGCCGCCTACTTTTACTGAGCCAGGCTATCTGATCGAGCATGAAAAATTAAAGAAGTTAAAATAGGGGGAGGCGAGGGGCAAATGCACCTTACGTTCAAAATCTGAACTTCAAATTTTGACCGTAAGGTGCATTTGCCCCTCTTCCCCCTATTTTAACTTCGCTAATTTTTTCATGCTCGATCAGATAGCCTGGCTCAGTAAAAGTAGGCGGCCAGTGCAACTCTGATTAAAAATCTAGTTATAACCACGTGCAGTGCTGATAAGGACCACGTGTTTCTGTGACTCCTTCTCCTTTATTTTCTTCTTTCTAGGTATTTCTTTCTCCTGATGAGGAGGACGTTTAGCTGCCCTCGAAATCGATTGAGTGTTTCATTATACCTACGTTAAATACAAGGTTGTTTTTACGATTTTGACATACCGACATGTTCTAAAAATTTCTTCTGAGAAATTACGAATAAGTAATTTATGCGATCTGCTAGAAAAATACTGTGTAAATGATGACAAAGACTCAATTTAAAATAAATTTCGAATGAGGGTATTCCCAGAATTTATTTTATTTTTGTGTGTATAAATAAAACGTTGTTATTGTTCACTTGTATCACTTGATATGCAACTTAGTGTTGTAATTGTTTAGAATAAAATACGTGTTATCGAATATTTACATACATAAAGTCTCATAACACGATTTATGCATATTTAGTAACGTTGTAAGGGTTATGTTAATTTTATTAACAGTTAAATTTTAAGTTAAAGTTCCTTTCCTCTCAAATTCTTAACTTCAACTTTACTACTTCCGGCCAGAACGTAGTTTTGGAATCTTGCTGAATATTTAATGAGGAGCGGTATTTAAACCACGAAGTTACTTACAGAGGGAGAGAGAATCAGAATTTCTGATTTACGTGCGTCTGCCTTTTTGGCCACTCTCTCTCTCATAGCTGTTATTATGCTCGGCCGTACTCAGGTCCTTGCTTTGTAGTCAAATAAGCTTCGTAGTCAAATAAGTTAAGGGGCCAACTCGATTTGAATCTTGATAGCTTCGGCTATATTTCTTTAGTTAATCTTAGTTTTAGTTTAATTCTTAGTCTGTTAAGTTCAAGTCCAAGTGAGGGCTTTATTTGTACACTTCCAGGCGGAGTTGTTAACTCTTATTGGAATAATAAAGGGTTAGTTACCCTTCTATCTTGTTGTTTTTGTCACCGAACTTAAGCGATTATTCGCTTATCAGTTCTTAAGATTCTTCACTTCCAACATTAACTTAAATTTACAAAGTGAGGAACTCTACAACGTGTCAAGATGAAACTGCGGTGTCGTGCTTTACGAAAACTTCAGCAATTTTTATCGTGCTAGAGAAAACTGTGTTGCAGGAAACCGTGTTATAAGAGGGTTACTTGTACCCTTAAATTTAAATTTGCAACACATGCAGAGTGATCCAAATTGTTTTAAATGTAAATTCCCCAAATCTAAACTGAGAAGAAATTCCAAGTATTCTCAATGAAGTGCTCTAGATGACACTGAAAAATATGGTGTGAATAGAAGTTCACTTTCAGCTAAAAGCGAAATTTTCTGAGACGATGCTTAAATCATGCATAGTACAGCCGTAAGAAACATTTATCAGGCGTTGATCAACTAAATTCCGTTCATTTACCATAATTGCAATATGGTGTAATGAAAAAGATGTATAATTGTACGAGTGTTATCATGGCATACAATCCATATTCTTGTACAGTAAAAATCATGTGGCTACGATTTTTGTCTTTGAAAGAATTGGAATAGGAAGATGGAATTCTTCATACACGCATGTCTGAACAAAATCAGCATGCTATTATACAGTTCTTCAGTGCTGAAGCATATCAAGCAGCTAAAATATTTCGTAGGAGGAAAGGAAACACATGTTTCTTAAGACCAATAGGGATGAATTGCTCAAGAGTATTGATGAAAGGTCGTTTAAATGAACATATAATTGTTCCCTTTCAATGAACTCTTGATGGAAGGGCGTTTAAACGAACATATAATTGTTCCCTTTGAATGAACTCTTGATGGAAGGGCGTTTAAACGAACATATAATTGTTCCCTTTCAATGAACTCGTGATGATCTCTTTTTTGGACATCTAAAAACAGTGTTGAAAGAGCAAAGATCTCACTCTTGTTATTGAAGTGAAGGCCGCAGTCTATCAATATGTCGAAAACCAACCTTTAAAATTCCACAAGAATGGCATTTGTTCATTTATTAGGCAGTGGTACAAATGTCTGAATGCATATGCGATTTCTGAAGAACAGATCCGTGACGAACTTATCGTGGAGGACTGCGCATAATGTATGAAATATTGTTAAATACAATTATTACTTTTTAGACAGTATCTGAAATGGGTTTCAGAAAATCAGTCTATATACTATCGACAAACTGCACCTGCATTCGTTGTAACAAACCTATTTTTTTTTCCTTTAAAATTTTAGAACCTGTACAGAGTGATCCTTGGAATTATTAAAATTTCAGGTTAAATTTTTTATAAAAGCATTTTGGACTTTTAAACGTTTGAAATTTCAGTAATGTTATTAGTAAGATACATTCTGTCAACTATCCTCTCGATTTGCAAAAATTATTTTGTTCCTGAAGAAAAGAAGCCTACACTTATTTATCCTCGAAATTGATAGAGCTTTAATTAAAAAACTAAAAACTTTCGTCAAAATGTGTTATTTTGTTAATAATTTTAAATATTTAAAATTTAATTGCAATTTTGGTAAGTATGCCTCAGAAGATAAATGTCGCTATTAAGCAAATTTGATTATTTAGTGAGCAAATCCTATCCTTTTTTCTTTAGATAATTTTTTAAATAAAAGGCTTAGTATAATGTGCTGAAAGACTGAAACGTTTCTGTTGTATTTACTTAAATTTAGATCCATTAAACTAAAAGTTGCATGACACGAAACCGCAATTCACTTCGGCAAGAAAGTACTTAAATTTCATCTCAGTAGCAGCACCTGATTTTCAAGTAAAGCATGAAAATCGGAAGGAGATTCAATCGTGCTTGCGTAGAAAGTAAAACACCTAACATTTACGTTTTTTTAGAATCACCTGAATCCCCCATACATCAAAATTTAAATCACAGTGTATATTTGTTTCATTTTACAGTTTGTCGAACATTATTCACTTCTGTGCTGATGCCGTTTCCTGTTCGATCCGCTGTGAAGATTTTTTTTTTTTTTTTCTTTTTTTTCCATTTTTAAGTATTTGTTGCCTAACTTTTCCGGCCCATCAATCTTCTTACAGTTTACATTTATTTTCCCTTATCGTTATGTTCACTTTCTTTGCTATTTTATTTCGGATAAGAGATTTCTTTGAATGTGGCAGTTTTATTTTTAAAAAATTGTCCTTGTTCTAAAGTTTTCCATTTTTTTTTTATCTGTATGTTCTCTGGTGGTTCTTTTATGCTAACAGCAATTTACATTCTTATACCTTTCTAACTTTGGGCGTTACCTGAAATGATAAAATATTTAAGTCTTGAGTTATTACTTGTTTTTTTTTTTTTATTAGAGGATAGTTTTCTTTCTATGTGTAATGAATCACACAATTTTTATGAAAATTCCGTCTTGGTATGCATTTTTCAGAATTGAAACTTATAAAGTGAATCTTTTAAACATACTCTTGATAAAATAGATTTTGATTTTATAGAGAATATGTGTCGTAATTCTATTCAGATCAGCGTTAAAACCTTATTCGGTTGATGTTTTCTTGTCCTAAAAAACCCATATTTCGTAATTACGAAACAAAGCAATGTGCAATGGCACAATAGTTTACATAAATCCGTATCGTAGCCTTACAAATTATATCCTGCGGTTTTAATTTGAACAAATATTTTAATAATTTTATCGAAATTTGATTATTGTATCGTAAAAACAGAATTCTGCAAAAAAATTCGATTTCTGATATCTCAGAAAACAAAAATGGGGTTATATTAATTATTATTCTTGAATATTTATAAATTATATATAAGTAATGTTTTGTAAATAATGTAAAATTAATATATATATATATATATATATATATGGGATTAAAATGAATTCATCCGAATGCTGATGGTTTCGTATTAGATTTACTAATACTAAATTGTTTCAACAGTTAGCATTGAAGGAAAAGAATTCATCAGAGAGCATTGTTATTAGAGATAGAAGTAGAAACATTTTGCTTACATTCTTTTATAAGCGAAAGAATTCTTAGTTACATGTCTAGATTTCAGAGTGGGTTGCAAATTTTTATCTGTATTTCATTTATCTGCAAAAGCTAATTTTATTTCGTGGGACCTTAAAATGATATTAAAATACTATACGTAAGCTACAGGGTGTCCACTAAATCTCTGAACAGCTTTAAGTGCTTTTTGTATGGGAATGGAAGAACTTATACCTTCGGTACTCGTCCCAATTTCACGAGTAAGGTTCAAAGGTTTTGTGACATGCGACACAAGTTACGCAACCTAGACACGTGACAAAATGTCCTTTGGTTGACAGTTCTACAACTGCAAGTAAATGAAATTTAACAACGTATCGAGGTAAACTCTGACAGTTATTAGTTTCTCACTGAAGAAAAATGATCGCAAAATTATGTCATGCATTTCGCCATTCCAATAATTCACTTTCGGACTGCCCCGCTTCAAATCCTTCAAACATAAGGATTTTCAGATCCCCAAAATCTTCCCATTATATAAACTTTTAAACCAAAACAAAGTGCAGGAAAAATCTAAAGTGCTGGAAAAAACTTTAATATATGTGTAATAGCATCACAATCATTTACAGCACTATGTTTTGCAGGGTGCTCCTAATAATAGGGTAAATTTATCCAGAGATTTCGTGGACACCATATATATTAACCGAAGTTTATATAAGCTTTTATCAGATAGTTCTTGAATCGAAAAATAAATTCAAGAATCATATTTTTCAGTGGAGAGGATTTTAGTATTTATATTAACTGTATATTATATTAATAATCAACATTTTGAAAATATTTATGGTTTTCAATGCTAAATTATCTTACTATTGTTGACTTGCTTGATTAAATATGTATAAATGGAAAAAAATGTAAAAAAAAATATTGGTTAATTTTTAACTATACAAAATCAAAGCTACCTTAATGTGAGATTTATTGTCTTCGGTATAAATTTAAATGTTATTTAATGTCAAAATACCTATCAATACAGCAAAATGAAACACCTTAATTACTGGTTATAATACCAGACAGAACTTAGAGGTGCATAAAACTGAATGTTCGGTGCATGAGATATTTTGAATATTTTGGATACATTCGTAATACAGAAAAATCTTAAATATGCCTGTAAATGAAATTCGTTGTTAGTTATCAGACACATTAAAAATATACAGTAGGCGCCGCTTAATAAGGTCTTTTAAACGCTTGTCCCTAATTAATTTTATAACATTAACGCAATTATAAAATTAAACGATAAAAAATGCGATAAACAATAAAAAGAGAACTATCTAAATAGGTACTTTCACAGCAGTTTAGTTAGGAAAAGGCAAAACTTTGTTTATGAACTGTTCGTAGTGTCTTTAATGTCTTTAATGAAGTTCATTTATGAACTGTTCTTAACATTTGTCCGATGCTGAATCTCTAATTTTAATACTCGGAAGGCATCCCTCGTTGAAACAGAAATGCAATGTGAAATTAAAAATCAAGCCCCCCCCCAAAAAAAACTACCTTTGTTTTGTGGATTTCTTTTTTGAATAGCAAGGAAAACGAAGAGAATTTTTGCAGAATGTTTTTGTCCCTGCTAAAGAGGTATTTGTGCCTGAACGCTGTCAAAATCTAGGCCAAATTAATGTGGCCTTTTTTTAAAAATATATTCTGACTTTATTTTTCAATTTTACTTCATCCTAAAACAGTTTATTCCGTAATATTTTGATCATATTAACGGAAATGTTGATCACAAGAAGCCACGATTTATTTTCCATGTTTTCGTCTACAAATAGGTAAGACTTCAGCAATTGGATAAAATAACCGAATGAAAATATTAACCGCGATCACATTAAGCGACGTCTACCGTACGAAGGTTTTTCTTCATATCTGAACATTCATTTATATTTGAACATTCATTACATTCATTTATATTAACAATATATAGAAAGCTATAATATTAGAATATGTGCTTGTTTTTTACAAATGAATCTAGTTTATATTAGTAGTGAATGTAAATTGATTAAGCCAAGTATGAGTTTCTCAAGATAATTAACGTATCATTAGGAATGACTGTAAAATTATTATACCAAGGGTGAGTTTTTCTCCAGAATCAGGTGGAAGAGCAAATCCTAGAAGTGCCATAGAAGAGATGAGTACACAAGGGATTATGAGGTTGAATCCGTAATAAAGGGTTCTACGTCGAATATGAATGTAGAAAGTAATATCCACGTAAGGCTCGGGGCAACAGGCATAAACGATGACATTGCGAGTGCCAGGCAGTGCTGTAGGGATAAAGAAGAAAACAACATTATTATATAGTAAATAGTTAACATCACTTACTTCTTTTAACTTATTTTAAATGAAATTACTTGATGTGCACATGGCAAAAGTGTTAAATAATAAGTATCATACTTCAGATGTCTGTTATATTATTACCAATTGCTATTTCTGCTTATGTTTATTTATTTCATTATTTAGTTATTATTTAGTTCGTTATTATTTAGTTTATTAGTTTTTTTTTTTCCCACAGTGAGAGGAGCATACAAATTTAAATATAAATTCATCAATATTTAATTCTTTTTGTAAATAATGCATCTAGATAAAATTTGGTGACAACGCTTTGAAAAATAATTAGGACAAAAAGCGGGTTTCAAGAATAATAGCGCCTCTACTGCTAATAGTAAAACAGCAGTTTAGTCTGAAGTTAAGTCTCAAAAATCTAAACTGAAAATGAAATTCTGAAAAGCAGAGTCTCTTTAGCTCATATAATTTATTAAAATTTGGTGGACAAAATACAGACAAGTTCTTTAAAGATACATCGAGTTTGACTGTAAAAATTACTTTGAAATACAATATAATTAGGTAATTTCAGAAAATATTAGTAAGTATGTTTTTAGATTACTATAGTGTTCAAAATTTTAAAACCGTTAATTTCCAAATATTAGATCCTTGAATAAACTATGCTAGCTGTCTTGCTATCGTCTCAGTTTGCTGTTGAAGAATATAGTATAATAATAAGCAGAGCGATAATACACCTATCCCTCGATTTACACTGTACTCGTTTTACACGATTTCGGTTTCACACGGTTTAAAAATTAACGAATTTCAAAAACTCGACAAAAGTGTATATTCGGTTGCATATACTCAAATACATGTATTTGAAGTCATTTTTTAATCTCATTATTTTGGTAACACTGGTAGCAACAACAAGGATGGGGATTCCTCGTGTTGTAAAAGGGGAATCCCCGTAGTATGTATGTCATATTAAAAGCACAAGGAAAAGCCGGAGCAGTGTCGATGCGTGCTTAGATCCATATTGAAGAAGAATTTTGATTGCGTAGTATTTAAAGAACTTGACAGTCGAGGCAGTTTTAATTCCATTTTTATTTCCAATTGATATTTGTGGCCAGAATCACTTGGCACTCTAGTCGTGCCTTTCCACAGAAGATTTACATTTTTGATATTTTTTAGATAGAAAGCAAGCCAGCGAAATTACATCTTAGCAGAGTAGAGGGCAAAAGCTGAAGTGCGTCGTTATGAAATATGGAAGCACGCGAAGAGAAAAGTTTTGGTTTACAAGGACAGTTTCAGTTCCCAATGATTACGTCATCAGAGTTGCGCCGATCATAGAGTGATCTAGAAATGACGCAATGCAAAGAAGTTATTACGATTTTAGAATAGAGAGGAAAAATTAATGTTTATAGTTTAATCTATAATTTTGATTCATACATTTTTATCTTACATGTATATGTATTTTCACAACGCTATTTAAGCAACGCTATCTGATTCATTGAACTAGTGCAGTATCAGTATTTTAGCAGCAAAGCTTACATCATTTTTATCTACATATTTGAATAATTACTGATAAGGTTTCAACATTTATATTTTTTGTGGCATTTTTATTGTTTACGTAAATTTTGTAAGGTTTTAATGCGAAACTGTTTGATAAAAAAATCAAAATTAAACGTTATTTCTTTAGAAACAAAAATTAAAATATTAGATCATCTATGTAATGAGAAAGGGTAACAGATGTTGTTAAATTTTACTCCATGAATGAAGCCACAATAAGGACAATTAGAAAAAAATGAAGACTCTTTTAGAAAAAGTGTAGCAGCTGGAACTTCCAGCAGTAAGAGCATAATTCCATATGCAAGGGATGATACAATCGGAAATATAGAAAAGGCATTAGTGATATAGTTAGAAGTCCAAAATCAGAAAACGAATTCCAATTGATACTAATGCTATTGAAAATAAGGCTTTAGATTTATAAAGCACTTAAGAATCAGTCACCGCCGACTTCTTCAGATGAAAAAAAGATATCCTTTTTCGAAAGTCATGGTTGGTTTGATAGATTAAACAAATACATTCTTTATATAATCTAAGATTGATAGAAGAAAGTGCATCTGCTGATTTGGATGCAGCACAACAATATCCAGCAAAATTTGCTGAAATCATTGCCGCCAACTCCTACACTTCAGATCAGACCCTTCAATGCTGACGAGTCTCGGTTGTTCTGAATAAAACAAATGCCTGAAAGAACCTATTTAGCTAGTGGTCATAAGGTAGCGAAAAGTCGTATAATAATTATTTTCTGTTGCAACGCTTTAGGCGATTATATAATGCAACCATTGGTTATTAACAAATCAAAAACACCGCGCTCATAGTAATAAACAGAGATAAGCTTCCCATTTATTTAGTGGCTAAGAAAGCACGGGTCACTTCTATAGCTTTCACTGAATGGTTGCATAACACGTTTGTCCCGGATTTCAAAAATTATTTAAGTAAAAAAGCCTTTTAAGACTCTTCTATTTATTGATAATGCACTTCGTCATCCTCAAAATTTGCAACACAAAAATGTATAAGTTGGCTTTTTACCAAAGAATAAAACTTATTGCAGCCGTTAAATCAGGAAATAATTTCGACTTTTAAGGTATTGTACATATCAAACAAACCTTCAGGTATATTTTAGAACAAATGGAGAATGACGAATCTCTTACTCTTATGGATGCTTCGAAGAAATCTATAGTCTTAGATTGGTTAAGCATGTTAGACTGTCATATACTCAGATTAAATAATCAACGCTCAACGCATGCTGGACAACAATATGGCCGGATGCTGTTAGAGATGAGAATGACAGATTACCATTAGAGCAGGAATATTCTTAGATCACTAAATTGGCCTAAACTATAGGAGAAGAAGGTTTTGAAGAGATTTAGTTCAGATATTGAAGAAATAACGTCTGATGAAGAACTAAATGAGGTGAGTTAGTTAACATGTTTCAGGAAACAAATAAACGCAGTGAAGACAAACATTCTGATGAACAGCAATCTGAATCAGTTGCGTTCACACAGCGTAGGATTTGAACTGGGAAGAAAATTAAGTAATGATTTTTTACAATACAACATGAATGTTGAACGAGCTTTCCTATTCCAACGGGAGCTTAGTAAGAGCTTAAATCAATATGAGAAGGTTTATAAAGATTTAGGAAAAAAATTAGGCAATTATTAATTTCGAATTTCACTACAAAGTCCTGTCGATCTGAGATCTGCCCTAATTCGCCAATCAGAATCTTATCAAAAACGCTCAAGTGAGGAAAGTGACATCATACAAATCAAGAAGAAAAGACAATAGTTCATGAAAATGATGACAGTGGTTAAACGTATAATAATTCTTTTGAATGACCTTATATTTTCCTAATATAAAATAAATTAAATATGTACTTCTATTACCTATGTGTGTTTTATTTTATGAACGGAGTATAACTCTATTTATTTTAAGATGTCTTACTTTTGTTTTATGTAAATAAATAACTAAATTATGCATATTTAGCATGATTTTTATTTTACACGGTTTTACAAAGCAAAATCCAAGATTTCGATTTACACGGTTTTGTGCGGAACCTATCTTCCGTATAAATCGAGGGATACAGTGTATGATGTAATATTGGGTTGGCAAGGAAGTAATTTCAGTTTACGGAAATAGATAGAGTTATTTTCATTTTGCTATTATTCTGTCATTCAAACACTTTTTTTTGCATTTGAGAGTTAGCAGCTCAGACTTTTAGGTTGCTGTACAAGCAAATTCCGCGTATTTTTGGTTACAGCGGTTAGCTTATGTTGAATTTTAACAAGAGGGAGCAAAAATAAACATTTTCGATATATTTTATATATATTATTTTGTTTTATTATGTTTTATTCTTTTATTTTAATGAAGGCAAGAAAGCGGCTGAAGGCCAGAAAGAGATATAACTTTTATGGTGTTGATCTTAACAGAAAACGTGTATCAGAATTGATTTAAAAAATTTCGTTCTGGATACCTTTTTACTTGAAAAAGACCGGCGTTTTCACCGACCTCATTAACTTGTTGATGACAAAATTAAAGGCATAATTAAATAGAATCATCGTATGACTAAGCGCGTTATTACAAAAAAGTTAAATGAAACAACAATTGAAAATCATACAACAATTGAAAACAACAATTGAACACAACATTGTTACAACAATTCAAAATCGTACAAGTTGTCTTGGATTCATTAAGAAGCTCCATATTTGGGTTCCGAATGAATTGAAAATAAATCACTTAACCCAGTGAATCAATACTTGCAATACGTATTTAAGACATAATGCAATTGGCACTTTTTCGAAACGAATTATCACTGGTGATGAAAAAAAAAGGAGCTCCTATAATAATCATTACATGATCAGCAGAAAAAAAAGAAAAAAAAAAAAAAAACACCAACGTTCTTCCCGGACTTTTTAAGTTGTTGACGATAAAATGACGATAAAAAGGCATAATTAAATTGAATCATCATATGACTAGGCCCGAGTGGTGATAAAAAGTGGATATCATCTAATAACATTGATCAAAAGACATAATGGTCCGAGCAGTATGAATCAGCACACATGATATCAAAAGCTATATATGCATCAGAAAGAGGTCATGCTGTCACTTTAGCGCGATTTTCACGAATAAGTTGTATTTCCAGCTGCTTCTAAGCGACCAATCGATCAACTCAAATGTTTACTGCGAACAACTTATGAAATCGGTGGACGCAGTCAAAGAGAAAATGCCAGAATTGGCAAATCGCAAAGAAACTGTGTTCCAACCACGACAATGCAAGGCTTCATACATCTTTAGCACTACGTACAAGATTGTTGGAGTTTGACTGGGAAATAATGTAGCATCCTCCGTATAACCCGAACTTGCACCATCCGGATTATCATTTATTTCAAAATTTGCAAAACTTCTTAAATGGTAAAATTTTCAGTAATAACGATGAAGACAAATCACAGTTGGTTCAGTTTTCCGCTAATAAAACCAGAAGTTCATGAACTTCAGAATTATGAAGATAGCAGAAAAATGGTTACAGTTAGACACAGAGCGGATGAAAATGTCAACAAAAGTTTGGCAAGTTTGGCGACTTTTGGCGATTTATCGCCACATTTGGTAACAAAATTTAGTCGCCAAACCATTCCAAATTGCAACATAACCATTTAGCTCAATGTTAAACGGACGTACTTCTGTTACCCTATTTTTCAGATTTTTCGCTAGCTGAAGCCTTTAATGTTACATTATAAAAGTGGTAAAACGATTTACATGTAATTTTGCTAAAATTATTTTTATTTATATGGAATTCATAATACTCCATTTTGAAATCTTTTTAGATCACATTTTATGTGGCAATTTAATAATCATAAGATGCATTTTATTTATTTTAACGAAAAGTAAATTCTTTTTTCCTTCTTCGAGAATTTTCGAAAGTAAATAAAGTCATACGAAATTTGAAAATATAATGGCAAGTTAATTACAATGCTTGAGGCCCAGTAGCGCAGTGGCTAGCGCATTACGCAGCAGCACAACAGGTCCGGGGTTCGATTCCCCGGCTGCGCAAGGTCGACACAGCCTTTTTACCTTTGTGTCGACAAAATGAGTACCAAGTTCTCTTGGGGACTTAAACCCTGAGGGTCCTGCGACAAGCTGACCACTTGTTCAGGGCATATGCTTACATATCCTGGGGCCCACCGGTCAAGAAAGATTTCGGCACTTCAGGCCTTGGCCCATTACGGCTGTTGCGCCACCGAGTTCAGTTTTTAGATTTTTAATTATAATATTAAATTTTGTTCGATATATAGCTAATTTTTATTTAGTTAAATTCAAGGAATGTGGTATTTTAATTAATTGTTTTAAATGTTGCTCGAGATTTATTAATCTATTTAAATTAACTTTATTTAACGTTATTTTTAAACTAACGATTTATTAACGTTATAAAATTGAGATTAACGTTCTAAAACTGAAGTTTAACATTATACGGCGGAGCACGTTTTTAAAAATATTATGAAATGAAGCAAGTACGCTGACAGTATTTAAAAATAACAGTCACCTACGCTGTTATTTTTAAATACTGTCAAAGTTTTGTGTTTACATTCAAAGATTCATCATGGTGCTATTTATGATGATAAGTGTCAAGAAAACAATTGCACATGGATAAGTTTGATTTTAGTTAAAATGTTATTTGTGTCTTAATTCCTTTTTGTACCTTTTAATATTCTTCCTTCAGGCTTATAAGAATGTCAATTAGATGAGATCTAAGTATTAAGAAGTAATTTATATAAGGACAATTTTGGTAGCTCTGCAGGAAAGATATTTCTCTAATAACGCCCCTGCCCATTGTCCGAGTAAATTTTAATGCCTGTTTTCTGACATTTGATAGCTTTGATCATTAGATATCACAAAACTGGCGAAAGTCTGTGAAGTTATTAAATAAATTTATTTTGTTTTAACTAGATTCATACAATAAATTAAGAGAATTTGCATATTACGACGAACCTTTGAAAACTATTGAACAGACTTTTATGGAATTTGATATGAATATACATCCATAATAGATAAAGAAATATACCATTCAAGTCATTTTACATACTCATGATGATCAGTAAAGCTCATAATGCAGGATTACCTAAAATCCTGTGATGTCGAACTGAAAAAGAGTCTAATATGGGGTATGGTTCCCTCTGACAGCCAGAAACGTCGAGCTGCGTGAAAGCATAATGCACAGGAGGCAGGGAGCAGTCCCTGTGGCTGTCAGTTCCCCACCTGTCCCATGTTCGCGAATTTTTCGTTCATTAATGGGAGCCCAGGTTCAACTGCGACACTGAAAATCCAAAAATAGGGCTTAAATACTTCTTGCCTATACCTCATACTAGTGAGGGTTCATTTTGCAAACACATGCAGGGGTGTGCGGCCGTCCAACATAATGCCTGTTTAAAACATTACACCTACAGCACCATATTGATCCTTTTCGCGATGAGGGAAAGGAAGGTATCGAGTTCCAGGCTCTCTCCCAAGTATAGTTACGCCTAGAACCAATGAACGAATATCCCTTGAAGAAAACGAGTGAAATAAAAGACGTTCCATGAGGATCACCGTGGAAAATCTGAAATTAATTTGTAAGAATTAGCGCTTGTGAATCGTCGGCGGGCGATCAGCTGCAAGCATTATTGGTAAGTCAAACGGTTCAGAATGGATAATCCTGAACATATTATTGCTAACATTAAATCTGAACATATTATATGGGCATATTAATATACGTTCTCGACTGTTGCCTCTAAAGATGTCCCTCAATTGCTGATCCCTGAGCAAACGGAACATAGATTTGCTGTCTCCCAAGATCTGCATGATTGGGCCGAAGATAATCCATCTTTCATAACCAGGATCATCTCTAGTGCCGAATCGCAAAATGGTGTGGACTCTGCAAAATCGCTTCAATGCGTATTACAGCGGAAGCTGAATGCTGGGACCGATACATTGCTATACATGCTCTTTTTTAAAGGAGATAACTTTCAAACTCAGGTAAATAATGTTATTTTTATCAACATAGTTAGTCCGAAAGCATTATGATATGGCCTTATACTAATGTCTTTTTTCCACAAAATAATCCATGATAATATAATGTATATTAGCAGAAATTAACGTTTGAAATATATTGGAAACTTTGGAATGTGTTAACGTTAATTAACTATTCCGTATGATTTGAGAATTTCTATTGGTTGGCAGATTATAGTGTTTTGGCTTTTAAACATATTTGTCAACAAATCAGATACATTTATGGTTTTGCTGAAATGTTAAAATTTTCCTGACTAATAAAGAGGAAAAGATGAATGAATCTACCAATAAGTTCCCATTCCCCATTCGTGATGTATGTGGAAAGGTCTCCTCCATCTTCAGACGAGAGACGCAGATCTAGCTGGTAACCATCATAGGTCCAGGATCCGAATTTCAACTCGCATCTTTGATCATCGAAGGGAAACCACGTAATGTCGATTTTGCATGTGCTTTTGAAGATTCCAGGAGGGATGTATGTGCAGCTTCCGTTGTTTCTCACAACGACGTTAGTGTGATAGGTACCATCAAATTTCTCGTCTGCGCTGCAACAAATAATTCTCATTTATTCATTAATCAATAGTTATTATTAAATAAATGATATAATAAATACAATGAGGATTTGAAAAGCTGAGTTCAAACATTATTAGTTAAAAATATCCAAATTCCAATTCCTTAATTTTGAATAAAATTTCCTTGCGTTAAGGATGATCAGTCTTGTCAGATAGTAATTAATTATGCGTAATCCAAGATGAATCAAGATCAAATTACATAAATTGCGTTTTCATAAAATCAAGTTTAACAGAGTTTGATACAGTTTGAAACTATTCATTCTGTTTGTTTTTCATTGTTGTATGCAAGATTTCCTCATTAAACGATAAGGTGTTTACGAAGACTATCTATCTGGAGATGGTGTTTCTAGAAGTTTTTCAAGAAACAAATGCACCAGTCAGATAAGAAATTTCAAATTTCGATTATGGTTGAAATACTGTTATTATATTAAATTATTCAATCATTTTATTAAACCATATAAAATGGTTTACAAGCGGTATTTTAACTATAGAGGGTGTTCCAAAAACATTGATCTCTGCTTTTGTTCTTTAAATATGTTACTAGACATATAATATAAATTAGAAATATGCGTGAATAAAAAGATATAAACTTTTATGAAATAAATTTTCAGGGAATTAAAATTAAAGAAATAAAAAAATTTACGTTTTTATACAAAAAATTCAGAAATTCTCAATTACAGAAAAATTCAGAAAGTACAGAAAAATTCTCAATCAATACAGAATCAATACAATTATCAATACAGAGAAATTCTCAATTATCGAAATGTGGCCCATACACTAATAAGGTCATATAAAATATTTCAGCATTTTATAACAAAAAGTCATAGAGTATGCCTCAGTATGAGTTTGAAAGTTAGTTTTGTAAATTCATAAATAAAAGCAGAGCTATATTTTATATGTCTTTGCATTTTTGCATCCCCTCATCTGCAATCTAGTTGTAAGCATTCGCGTTTTAATTTATGATCAACCCCTCACCAACTTTTTTAAACGGTTAAAATTCCATAATCGGGGTGAAGCCAAGTTTAGCGAGAGTTTTTTGTTTGGCGCGATTTTTGGTTTCCTGCTGTATGTTTTCTTGTGGCAAACCTAGAGCTTTATTTCGGTAACTGTAAGAGCGAGAATTTAGTGTAGCCAGATTTTTTTTCAAATTTAATTTTGAAATACTGTGTTTATTTTTAAAAGTTTTACTGTTTAATATTATTGTTATATATATGTTTAATATTATATTTATATAAATATTTGCCAGAAGGTTAAGTTGTTGTTGATAGGAGAATGTTGGATTTCATATGACATGAAGTTTATAATTTATGAATGTTTTCATTTAATTTTATTTAGTTAATTTTCTTTTGTTTTGTTTCTTGCATGTGGCAATCGAGAGATGTGGAATATTTAAAGCTTTGAACGAAAGTTGTTCAGTGTGTTGAATTCCACGACGATAGTAACTTGAATATTTTAGTTAGTTTATGATGCTGAATACGCATAATTTGCTATTCTGTTTATGTTAAAACTGACTTTGCAGTGCTCTGATCTGATAAGTGTATACATTTATTTACTTAATAACTATTTACAAGAATTGTTCATTCTACTATTTTGTGATGAATTACATATATATATAGGACTATGCTTCTACTTGCAAAGCTGTTGGACTTTTTGTTTTACTCATCTAGTATTTTATCATCTCATTTTACTATTCTGTTTACATAAAATAACGGCGTTTCTCTACTGCAAAACTTAAAAGTTACTATTCTGTTGACGTTTAAAAAACCACATTTTAGTGCTTTCATTACCGCCTAAAAAATTCGCCAAATTTTGAAGGCCAAAATAGTTTGGCGAAACTGATTCAAGATGGCGGATAAAGAGCTTGACGAGTTTTACGCGTCTCTTGAAAAACATTATGATACTATCAACACAGCACTTGCATCTAAATGTAATATAAACGGTGAGCTGCGTGAACATGCTAGGACGGCTTTGGGTGAGTTAAAATCTCTTATAATTAAAAATTTTGAAAGATTACAATCTGCTAATTATCGCGAAGCTTGTGTGACAAGTTTGAAAACCTCTGTTATGAGACCTTCTTATGCTGAGGTGGTATCGCCATTTAGGGGAGAAAATGTAAAGAAACAGTCAAATGACTGTAATTTGCTTGTTTCGGCAGCTGCTGGATTGGAAAACTTTACATCCCTTAATGTTAAAAAACTTTTGAAGGAAAAAATTAATCCTACAGAAAAGAAATTAGGTATAAAAAATATTAGGACGATTTCGAATAACAGAATTTTAGTGCAATGCTCTTCCTCAACTGATCGTGATAAACTAAAAGATGAAATCAACAACAAACCTGAACTAATTTCTTCTCTTCCAAGACAGAAAAATCCTGCTCTACTTATTAAAAATGTGCCAAATGAAATTGATGATAAAGATGTATTAACTGTTCTCTTTGATCAAAATCCTGACATTTTTTATGGTAATGAATGTATTAATGACATGAAATTCTGTTTTACTCTTAAAAAATTCCAAAACTCAAAGCATATCGTTGTCGAAATGAAACCCGATCTATACAGAAAATGCCTATCTTTGGGGTATTTGCATTTTGAGTGGTCGGCTTGTAAAGTAAAAAGTTTAACATAATAAATAGATGCTTTAAATGCCTTGGGTATAATCACAAAAGAGCTAACTCCAGAAATTCTGTTGCTTGCTTCAAATGTGGAAAAGAACATAAAAGTGAGCACTGCCAAACTCAAGAAACCCAAGCTTGTGTAAATTGCATTCGTTATAATAGCAAAATCAAGGATGTTGGCAAGAAAGTTGATGTCAAGCATAAGCCTTTCTCCGAAAATTGTCCTTCTCACATTTTTATGAAAAATAGAATTTTTTATCAAATTAATTATGGCTAACTTTCCCATTTCTGTTCTTAAAATTATTCAACTTAATCTTCATCGTTCGAAAATGGCTACTCAGTAGCTTGTTTTAAATATGGAAAATTCTAACATTGATATCGCTCTTGTTCAGGAGCCTCACTCTTATAAATGCTCTCTTCCCAACTTGCCTTCCTCTTACCGGGTTTACTTTGATGCTAATAGTGATACCATTAAAACTGCTATTATTGTACGGAATCAAAAGCTGTCTACTCTGCTTGATATTAATAATCTTGATTATAATATGGTGTTTCTTCATGTTACTCTCAATACTCATGATTTTATCTTTTTTTTTCCTATTATTTTGAACCTAATAGAAATATCGACTTGGATTTGCATAAAATTAATGTAGCATTAGCTTCAAAAAATTGTAATAGATTGATTTGGGCTATGGATGCCAACAGCAAATCTGAAATTTGGCATAGTCCAGTTTCAGATTCTCGAGGGGTTAAACTTTGGGAATTTTTAAATATGAATAATTTGTTCGTTATAAACGAAGACTGTGGTCCTACTTTCTGTAGTACTCAAGGTTCAAGCTATATTGACATTATGGTTGTGGGATCTGATGTTCTTGCAGATATTTTGTGTTGGTGTCAACCAGATTATGAATCCCTTTCTGATCATTGTACGATTGAGTTTGAACTATCTGTAGCTTCTAATAACACTCTCTATGACAGAAAAAACAGCAAGATTGTCTTCAGTGTAAAGAAAGCTAACTGGAATATTTTTTACAATACATGTAAGCAGTCGATTGATGAGTTGTCGCAGTTTATTGAGTGCTGTACGGATAAGCATGCATTAAACTCTCGACTAGAAAATTTTGTCTCGATTCTCTATAACGCATCCAAGGCTTCCATGCCTCTAAAAAAGTCAAGAGTTCATAAGGTACCTTGGTGGACTACTGAAATCGAATGTATGAGAAAGCAGGTTAACGCTGCTAGACGTAAGTTTCAACGAAATCGTAACCCTACTCTTAGAGAGTTATATAAACAAAAATATCTTCACTTAAGACATAGTTACAGCTTAAAGCTCCAGGATGCAAAGCTTAAGTCTTGGAGAGAATTCCTAATGAGTATAAATGAAAGGAATGTTTGGAAAAAAATATATACGAATGGTATAAAGAAAAATTTTATGAAAGGAATTGAAGTCAGTGGAATTTATCTCCCATCTGGTAATTGTACAAAGTCGCTTGAAGAAACTGCTAATGAGGTTCTTAACAGAAGCTTTCCCACGGACCATTTTAGCACGGATAATTCGTTTCATAGAATGATTAGGGCTGAAGCTTCGTTAAATTATGTTGCTAATCCAGATCCTCCATTTACTATGTCAGAAATTAATAATGTTATAGAAAACCTTAAATGCAATAAAGCTCCTGGTCTTGATTCTATTTCAAACGAAATTTTGAAGCAAGTTCATAGAATGTTTCCAAATTTATTCTCCAAAATCTTCAATACTTGTCTGAGGCTTGGTTCATTTCCTCGTTGCTGGAAAACAGCGAATGTCGTTTTAATCCCTAAGAATAGTGGTCCTCGTATCCCGCATTTAGATAACTTGAGATGCATTAGTCTTCTTCCCAGTTTAGGAAAATGCCTAGAAAAGCTGTTTGTTAATAGAATTACCTGGTTCTTGCATAATAAAAAACTGCTAAATAAAGCACAGTTTGGTTTTACCCCTCATAAGAGTTGTGAAGATGCTCTTTTGTACTTAAAAGACATAGTGGACGAAGGTAAGAAGAGAAATTTACACACAGTTTTAGTGTTTCTTGATATCAAAGGTGCTTTCGACCACGCCTGGTGGCCTGGGATACTTGTTTTTTTAAGGAAAGCTGGTATTCCGTGTAATAATACCACCTTATTAAAGATTTTCTGCATGACAGATCTGCATTGCTCTCCCTTGGCCACGTTTCTTCCTCCCGCATTTTGGAAAGAGGTTGCCCTCAAGGCTCGGTTTCCGGACCTTTATTGTGGAATTTAATTATGAATGATCTACTCAATAGACTCTCACATTGTCCGAGTTGTAAAACAATTGCTTTTGCTGATGATCTACTAATTTGCTTTCAAGAGAAGTGTCCCATTACTCTCTTTAATACGGCTCAAAACACCCTTAATATTATTTCCAATTGGTCCAGAGAACAGAAATTGGAATTCAATCCTAATAAATCTTAAAATTATGATAATTAAAAGAAAGCATGTCAGCTATACAAACCAACAACTGTACTTGGATAATACCTTACTCGAAACGGTGAATGAAATTAAATATTTAGGCGTTATTCTTGATCATAAGTTTTGTTGGAAAAATCATATTATGTATTTATCCAATAAGTGTGAAAAATATACTTAGAGGACTTAATCGTGTGTCTCTTGCAATACTTTTGGTTTAAAATCTAATGTTATTGATATGATTTATAAGCAGGGTATTGTCCCTTTATTTGCTATGCTTCTAGAGTGTGGGAACAGCTTTAGAAAAGAAGATTAATTCCCGTATACTTCGCAGAATTCAAAGAAGAATTTTACTAAGAGTTGTGCGTGGCTACAGAACAATTAGCTATGAAGCCTGTTTCGCAATTTCAGGATTTCCTCCGATTGACCTTCATGTTTTAAATGACAAAAAGTTTAAAGATACCATCAGCAAATTTATGTTCGATACCAAGGTGTTGTTTGAAGATCTTCCTCATCCTGCCAATCGTTTGCCAATTCAAACTATCATTTATGACAATTCTGTTGATGATAATTTCCCTGTTGTGTGTTATACAGATGGCAGTAAAATTAATAATCGAGTTGGATTAGCTTATGTCGTTTTCCATAATGGTTCTGAACTGGAATACAAACTCTTTAGAATTCCAAATGAATGCAGTATTTTTTAAGCCGAATTACTGTGCATTAGTGAGTCAATTAAGTGGATATCTAACAACTGTTCGCTAAGTGCTAAATTTCTTATTCGCACTGATTCTCTTTCATCCTTATATTCTCTTAGGAATATCTTCTCATGTAATAAATTAATGTGGACTTCCCATGCTCTTCTTAAAGACCTTAATAATAAAGGTGTTGATGTTATCTTTTCTCATGTACGTGGCCACACTGGCAATCTAGGAAATGAAAGGGCTGATTGGTTGGCAAAACAAGCTACACATCTTCAAGTAATTAATTACTCCAATGATACTTCCCAAGTCATTTTACAAGAACAAAAGTAGGGATGATACAATACTCGAGTGGAATGAACTATACAGGAATTCTACTACTGCCTCTTTGACTAAACTATATTTTCCTTCCATTCCTCACAGACTGAATAATAAACACTTTTTCTGCAATTTTGAAGTTACTCAATTTCTAACTGGACATGGTAAATTCAATTCATATCTGAAGAGATTTAGATTATCTAGTACAGACTTGTGTTCATGCAGTTTCGGGGGAGTGCAAAATGTCGAACATTTGTTGTTCTATTGTTCAAAGCTTAAGGAAGGACGAAAGGAACTCATTTCTAAGTTAAACTCTGTGAATATTACATTTCCTTCCCCTCTTCATGTATTTGTCCAACATAAAATGGCTTTCTCTTTTTTCTGTAAATTTATCTCTTACGTGTCATCTGTGAATTTGTAAGTTTATTTTATTTTGTGTTGTTGTTGTATTTTTTTTTTTTTTTTTTTACTTACCTCTGTAAGCCTTGTGCAATAATACTATGTGGTGCACAAGGATTTAAAATTTTCAATTAAAAAAAATAGTTTGGCGCTAACTTACCGGCTTATGGAATTTTAGCCGTTTAAACATATATGTGCAAACATTTATGAAAAAATGCTGAAATTTTGTTCATGAACTTATCAGTGTATGAGTCACATTTTACTAACTGAGAATTTTTCTGTAAGGGGGCACTATAAATATGTAAATTTTGCATTTCTTTAAATTTCATTCTCTGAAAATTATAAAATTTATTTCATAAAATTCTGTATATTTTACGTAACTTTATAATTTATATTATGTGTCTACGATCATATATAAGGAATAAAAGCGGAGGTCAGTGTTTTTGGACACCTCGTATAACTTCATCATAAAAATCAGCACCAGGTTCCGTTACTGAAGAATTTCAATTCATTTATTGTGAAAAACAAAGTATTGTGCATTCTGAGGAAATACGTCACATTTGTTAAATTGCAAGTTTATTCTGTGTCAGTATCTTCTCTTACTATTTTTAAGTATATGAAAACAATTAATAGTTGTGCATTTCGGTAATGATAATTTTTTTACACATTATTACATACACATCTGAAAAAGAAGGGGAATAAGTAAGCTAAATTAAGTAAACTAAATTTTACATTATTTCATAAAGAGAATTTAAAAACTTTAAGTCTGAATGCAGTACTATCATCCTCCATTTCATCATCAGCATCGTTGTCACTTGCCTTTTTGATAATATCATCCTCTTTTCTGTCAAGTTTTGCAAATGTGATGTCAACATTGCTTAGAAAAGTTACGAAAAAACCGTAAATTTAAATTAGGTAAACATACAGTTCTTGTTTCGTCAGAGAACCATTGATTATAGAGTAGAAATTAAGACCTGAATTTTATTCCATAAAAGCGTACCAGGAAGTAACTATAAAAAGGGCTGAACTAATTTTTTTTTTTTGGCCTATTAGGCATTCTCTCGCTCAGTATAATGAATCAGTTCGTGAACGAATAACAAATACCTGCTCCTGGCACTTTACAAGAGCCGGGCTGCACTGAAAAACAGTTACAACTCTATTTTCTGCAATAAACTGTTTCTACTTCAATTTTCATTCACCCGTTCAATGATGTGGTTATTCGAATCAGTTCCGGAGCGGATCGTCCATCTCTAAACCAAACGACAATATTACTATTCCCACACTTATATGCCTAAATTAATGAGGCATTTTGAAATTAGATTTATGCACTAGTTCTGAGTTTTGGTTAATTTTTGTAGCACATTCTTTTACTTATTGGTTAATATAGACATCGGTTATACTCTGAAATGTTTTATAAATCTTTTTACTGTAATGAAATAATTGCAATATGATTTACTTTCTTTGTTTTATCGATTACAGTTATTCATTTTTTAAGAAAGTTTTACTTGTAAACGTCTTTTCTTTTATCTGAAGATGTGTAGAGAACTTTTGTTTAAAGTAACGAATTCACTGCACATATCCAAAATTTAATTAGCACTCGAATGTTTTACTTCCACAGTCGATCCCGTAGCTTCCTACTCAACAGGTAGAATTAATAGGATAATTATCACGATGATGAGAAAGGCTAAGTGTAATTGAGAGACCTTGTGTCTTCGGAAGGATGAGTTTAATGCAAAGTAAATAAGAATCATTAAAATTAAGATGCAACTTATAGGTTCAACTTTATAGAAATACTTTACTGACTGGTTTAAAACAATAAAATTCTTTAAAAACTATTGAATTTTGGTAAGGAATACTTTTGTAAGCATTAGTTGTTACATAAGGAAGCGTTTATTTCCTCCAGTATCTCTAAGAACTGACCTGTTGTACATGAGGACATCCGGCTTCCATATCCTCCATGGTGGAATCCGTAGATCCTTCACACCTCCATATTCACTAGCATTCCATCTCAAGTTAACATCCACCCATTCCTGGAAAAAAATGGTAATTAAAAAAATTGAGTTAAAATTGGTAATAAATCTGCACGATTAACCCTTACATTTGTACGCCTATTAGTTTAAATTAACCAGTTACAACAATTTTGGTCTTTACTATAACTTCTATGTTTCGTATTCTTCACCAGAATGCAAAACAGTTAACCAGTATTTAAACTGAGGTTTTTAGTTGCTAAGATTTTTTTTTTCTAAGATAGAGCCTGTTCCTGGTTTCGCGTGCATGCTATGTGTTAGTTTTCTGCTAACTCTGATAGTTCTAATTAATCGTCTTTGCTTTCTATCGCTGCTGAAACTCTGGTTTTGGCTCTTCGGTAGAGTTAATGAACCAGCTTCTAATTGTGTAATCTTTGACTATTGTTACATGTTTGACGTAATTTTTTTTCTATTTAGTTGCATAACCACGAGCTGTGGCCGATGCTGCTGCACAAGAAAGTGCATTCAAACTCTTTTATTTATTTAACTGATATTAATATGTTAGGAAGGTTAAGTCCGGCAATCCTTAATCCATTAATGAAATTCAATTTATTTGTGCAGTCTACTACTACTGCAAATAAATGTTATTGTTGAATTTCATTTTCTTCTCAATACACGTAACGCAGACTATAGCTTCATTCGTCCGAAAGAAAGCAGAAATTTATGATAACTTTGGATAATGGATGAAAGTTTAATATTCGATAAATATTGGTCTGACAAGAAAGTAATTTCAGTTTTCACAAATAGGTATTACTACGTTCGTTTTGTTATTTTTCTTTCAATCTTTTAATTTTTTTCTTTAGCGATTTGCCCGGTGACACATTTAGGTTTGCTACATAAACAAATTCCGTATTTTTGTTTAAAATTGTTAGTTTACGGTCACATTTTTGAAATATTTTTTAGTGATATTAAAGAGATATGTCACACAAAGAGATATATTAAGTTTATCGTGTTGATTGCTTAACCGAACGCATGCTTCAGAATTGGTATAAAAAATTTCGTTTTGAAGATTTTTCACTTTAAGGTGACCATCGCTCTGGCAGAACTACTGAAGTTGATGATGACAAAATTAAAGCCATTATTAAATAGAATCGTATGCAACTGTGCGATAGATTGCAAAATGTTTAAATATGTCACATGTAAGAATTTAAAATCGTAAAATATATTTTGGGCTCCTTAAGAAGCTCGATATTTGAGTTCCGCAAAAATTGAAAGAAATTCACTTAACACAACCAATCAGTGTTTAGTGATCATCAAAGCAGATGAAGCCTGAATGGCAATTACATTCTAAATTTTCATTGGAAATTAAATTAAGAAAGAAAACAGTTCTTATTTTAGATAATGCATTTAACTGCTATATAATGTATATGATATCATCAACTATATGGTTTTGATTTAACTTTTGTATTACACGGAAAATGTAATCTCCAGAGCAAGTTTCCAAATATTTGAAGGAAAGTGTAAACTTTTCTCTCCATTATTGTAGGTGTTGCTACTTGAGAGAAGCTTTTTCTAAATATAAAATAATTTCAGAAGTTTTTAGGTCTTACAAACCCATATTTTGTATGCAAGAAATCTTTGTAATCAAATAGACTTCAATAATGTCATGAATGGGTTTTCTCAAAAGTCATAGGATGGTTTCCCCCACGACATTTGAGAAATGTATGTGTGACGTTCGCACGAGCATTGTGCAAATGTTTGCACGAGCCAGTTTTCCATAGAAGGTCTTCCACGAAGGCATCCCTTCCCTTACGCAGATACTTGAGTGTTTTTCCATTGTCAAATAAACCAAAACAAACCAATGTAATAAATTCTTTCCTCCATTGCGATGGATGTCAATGATATTGACGACGAACAAAGAAACAAGCAATATGATTATATAATTTTAAAATAATAGAATTAAAAGTTTTGTTTCAAAAATAAACGTGAAGTATTAATTTAAGTCTCTGCATGTAGTTTGACATTTACCGCTCAGATGGTAGAGTGGTTAGGGAAGCAGATTGCGATACCAAAGTTTCGGTTTCGAATCCCGGAGATGACATGGCTGTAACTGTACAGTCGTCATAAGAGGCAAAGTTTGCCCACCTACTAGGTTGCCTCCATAATAAAGTGACCGCCACTTCCGGGCTTAGAAATGGCCAAACCGAAGTTGGCTGATGGCCCGCCATCGGAGGAGAAAAATGTTTTGATATTTTATTTTGTAGTTATTTGCTTGTATATCAAGAGGTTTGAGAAACTCAGAGACCGCCCCGAGCAGCAGAAGTTCTAGTTGCACCACTAACTTTCAGAATAATTAAAATCATTCAATACTCGTATCTAACTTGAAGAGAAATCTTTGACTTGGTATCTCTGACTAAGAAGGATCACCAAAGACTAGTTTTGATTAGTTTTGATGTGAGGCAATTCGATAATAAACAGTGTAAATATAAAGCGAAAAGAAATATAGATATATAATGAACGGAGTTTATATACTGTTTTAATTTCGAAAAAAACGTTTTTTTCATCTCAGTAGAGAAACATTTATTTGAAATTATGAAATTTATAAAGATTTGAGGCATGATTTCAGCCTGAGATACCCAACATTTCAAAAACACGAAACATTTCCGCTTCTACATCCCTTCATAATTTTGGATATCATAATTATTTTATCCGTCTCCTAAAAATCTAGGACTTTCGGTATTTATTCAGTTTTTAATAAAGAACGATTATAATTAGACTTATCTTCAATTACTTACCTTAAACTAATTTTCAAGAATGCTTATGAAGTTTAATAGGCATTTCTATGACTAATTATTAATAGAGAGTTTATGAACATAAGCAATATTAATCTCTACGTATAATAAAACAAAGAGTCTGTCTGTGTGTGTGTCTATCGTTCACGTTGCGCGTAAGCTAATAGAGCCACGGCTAAGAAATTTGGCACACAGGTGCATCCAGACAAGAGCCAATGCACCTCGAAGCGATTCTTTCGAAATTTTAATTGGATTTTTTTTTTTTTTTGTTTTGTTTTGTGACGAAATTGCGTCATTTTGAGACATAATGGGCTATAGGAAAGCGAGATTTTATTCTACGCACTCCATTTTCACATCGTCATGAAACGTAGGCATTTAGCTATTTTACGAACTTAAATTTCGTGTTTCAATAAATCGATTAAATACGAATTTATTTAACAAAGGGAGCTTAACACCTTTTCAACGGGATTTTTTCTAAAAACGTTTATGTTTAAAAATGTACAGTTTATTTCTCTTTGATTTTTGGACACGTTAAACTTTCATCCTTGCGACTGCCTTTACAAAAATAATTTTGGGAAAATGATAATATTTTGTATTTTTAAGAAATTTTTTAAATGAAGCTTCCGAGTACACTTTCTCACATCTCACATCTTTAAAAATGTGATTTTGGCAACAATTTTTCTTTCTTATTGTTGTTGATAGATTTTTGATGAAATCGCATCATTTTAAATAGTTTCATTCTTTTAGAGATATGGGTTTGGCAACAATTTTTCATTGTATTTCTTATGTCACTGTTTTTAAGAAAATGGCATATTTCATTGTCATTTTTTATATATATAATACATTTTTATTGATTTTTGTTTTTTGATGAAGTTGTTCTGCAGAGTCAAACTCTGCGCGGAATGTTTTGTTTTTTGAAGATCTTCATGTTTATTTTTTTTATTCAATCTATTTATAAATATGAAAAGTTTTACATGAATTTTTTTTCTTCAACGGAAAGTTAGTTAATTTTTTATTAGGATAATTAATATTTGCATTAAGGGATATAGCTTATTTCATTGTACACTTTTTCTCTTGAAAATATAAGATAAAAAAACATGAAATATACTTGATTTTCAGAATTTTTTTGTTTTTGTATTCTTTTATGTTATTATTGCTCATTCACTGTCTTAGATATTGAAAAGTTTTGAGTGATTTTTTTAGGAAACAAAGTTCTAAACCTCCTTTAATACCATTTGGTTCTTAAGATTTGCAAAGAGAAGTGGTTTTTTATTTTTATTGGATAATTAATATTTGTATTAGGGATATAGCTTATTTCATTGTAATTTTGTTATACGTAATAACTTTTTTTATGAAGTTGTTCTACAGAGTAAAATTCTAAGCAGTTTTTAAATTTAACGTTTGGAAAAATGGTTAACACTTCAACCATTTTTCCGGTACATTTAAAAGCCAGACGAAGGCTGGCAGCGAAGCTGCTAGTAAGTAAAATAAAATTAGAAAAAAATCAGATTTCCAAAAGTCTCCCAAAAAGGTTTGTTACGCTCAGTTTATGCAGCTTACCAATATGCTCTAACGCTCACTCCTACTAACCCCTTTTTTCCTTGGTTTTAAGTATCGTTTTCCTGGCACTTATGCTCCATACAATTCAACAAAAATTTACCAAAATTTCAAAAGCAACACAGCACTATACGTTTGGAATTGCGCCATGCTGCCTTAAATGTGTAGAGATATTAGTTTTCTTTTGAAGCAGAAGACATAAAAAAATGTGCAATGCCCTCACCGGGACTCGAACCTAGACCTCTCGAATACGTACCAAATGTGCTGCCGTTACACCACGAAGTCAATCAGAAAGAATAGAGAAAATATTTTATAAGTTTTGGCATACATTTTCTGTTTTTCACTCTTTTCTCAGTTCATTATATCAATATTCAGGTTTCTTACTAAAACGGCTTTAAAAAACTTTCTGTGACCTTTTATTATTACCCTTTTGTCTGTTTACTTTATTTATTAAATATCACGTTCTTGGGCTTTGGCCACATAAAATTCAATTTAACAGCAAAATCACAAAATATTTAAAAACAGCATATGTTTAAAATTTCCTACAGACAAAAAATAGTATTTTTTCCGTACAGTGTTGCCACTGCTCACTTTGAAACTGTTGAATTTGTCAATCAAAACGTTTTACAAAATATGGAATAGATATTAAAATCAATTTGAAATTCAAAAGTCGGTCTTCCAGGGGCCCATATCTGGGTGGAGCACTAAGTTTCT